TTTAGCATATTTTCATACATTAAATTTATGTAAATTATCAGAAATGGATATTGTGGTTAAAGATTTTCGTCTATAAAGATAGAGGTTAGATTTAGTTGAACATTTATCTGCGCTTGAAATACGCACAAAATAATGATATTGAAAACGAGTAATTTAATCGCATTCATTTCGATTACTAATAAGCTGCACGTGATTAATCATCCGATTGAAAGCGTACTATGTTGAAATGCATATACGTGTTTTATACAGGAAACATTCATATCAGAACGATTGCATGATTTATTCCATTCAATAATAATCTGATTTACTGTTACGAAACGTTGAACAGAAGTGAAAGATGAATTCGATAAAAAACATAATAAACAAACATGTCACGTTAAAGTGATTACATTACGCTGATTTATTTAGTTTAATAATAAACTGCTTTAGTGCTGTGAAAAAACAGTTGAATAAAAACAGAAAATTTTATCAAAAACACATTCGAAAATAAATAAAAATTTAAAAAGTTCTTTTCCCAATGGCCGCTCCATTTCATTCAAAAATAATTATTGCGTTAAAAAAATTTTAATTGCATTCTTTCGAAATTATTCAATCTCTCGATATAATTTTATCTGTAATCGTAATTGCCAATTGAGAAAAATTAAATTTACTGCTATATCATAAATGAAAAGAAAAAAATTAAGATCGAGATAAGCAGTAATTGCGAATTGTGGTGTCCTCTGTAGATCTTTTTACACGATTATATAAACAAGTATAGTCGATAAGCTAGATAATTTATTCATGATGTTATTTTCCATTTATTTCATTACCATAGTTCAATGAGAAATTGGTATTTTTAAATATCTATTATAAATAACAAAATATAACGCAAAAAGACAAATATATGTAAAACCAAACGCATTTTTTTTTATTTTATGATTCGAACTACTTTATCAAAGATAAATATTATAATGTAATCGCAAAATTTTTCTCGATAGATATACCTAGTATTATCTTATGTACTCAGATAGCATAGAGAATCAAAAATTAATTCTTTTTAAATCCTTGAATTATAAGATTCTTTTTCCGTCCTATGATTCAAAAACTTTCTTAAGAGTTCCTAACAAGATTTCATTTCTACTTTGCTTTTAAGTCTGAGCTGTTTTTCAAATGAAATTGTTAATACAAAAAAAATTTTTAAACAGTTTAATCAAGCAATAAAAAATATAAGAAGTAAAAAAATCAAGAAAATTATATCATGTGCGTATGATAATTTATAAAATAATTTTAAATAAATACAATTTTATTTGTATAGATATAATTTGTCCTATATTAAGGTACACAACAACTTTTTATGTACATACGTATTTTGGAGGATAAATATATATTTGTATTTAACATATTTGTGTTTTAATTGAGTGCGAAGTCATTAATGTCATTTGAGAATGTACTAATTCCCCTCTTTTCCCACCACGATTCTTCATTGCAACTATCAATCAATGTCACTGCATTTGTCGGTCATTATCACAAATTTGAGTACGAATCGTATTGCCTATTATAAATAATATGTAACAGACTCAGTGAGATAATCTCGATCTACGGACACATGTAAAAAATTTGACATGTATGAATATGTATAAATATGTATAAACATATATAAACATAATTTTGACTTTTTTTTAAAGAAATATTATATAGAAATACACATAATGCTTTCTCACTTTTATATACACATGCGTTCTCATTTTCCTCCGGTTAAAAAAAAAATTTCCGATTGAGGACTAAATCTGATGATTTTTTTAAAAAGACCACTACGAGATATTAACAATTTCAAAATTTCGGTAATAGTAATTGATCTCGGACAGAAAAGTCGTCGATTTCTGACGGAACAGTAGTTAAAAGAAGCTATAATTTCGGGCCGCTAATTCTGATGCGCAACAACAATATCCGCAATATCGCAATTCGCACAATAAAGTACGAATAATTTTGACCGGTGTCCAGGAAGCTACAAACGGACTGGATCGTCATTGTAACGTATTTTGCGATTTTGCAATTCGGCCAACTTTTTGATACAAATTCAAATGTCCAAGAGAGGCGTCATCAGTATTTGTCTTCTCTGCACGTTGCATGTTTCTTGCCAAGATGTTCACGTATGTTCACAAAAAGAGAGCCAAGCTACCATCTTCATGGTATAACATCAAAGATCTGTTTCCGGTAAGTAAAAAACAACAAGAAAAAACAGATATGGTATTATATATCTTTAGGAAGCCTGTTAAGCCCATATTTGTTTGCATAAAAATACATTTATAAAATAAACAATATTCTATATATTTGTCATATGTAAAAACTTGTGGAAGATATAAGCGTCTATTAGATCTCTCTAATTGGATTATATTTTTCTTCTTTATTGAATACGTAAAGAATTTTCCAAATACATAAAGAACCTCGAAGTTAGATTTTATAGTGCCTATAAATAATAGTTTTATTATTTATAAAGGAGGATGTTCACGTCATTCTAGTTCTTCTGGATAAAAATTATACAAAAATATTATTAAGCAAAACTTAACTTTGATCAAGTGTTCGTGATATGCAATAGAATTCAAAAATTATTCTTATTCTTTTTTAATATACATCTCAAGAGATTAAAATGCCCGTTTAAAAAGATTGGCCTTAGAATTTATTCGAATATATTTTTTGCGCTCAAAATGCACGTATAGAAAATAAATAATTTAATTGCCTTCACTGAATTAATAATTAGTAAGCTTCGCATGATTAATAATCCGATTAAAAGCGCGTTATTAAAATATGCATATGGATGATTTATATTGTACATGTCACATTAAAGCGATTACACTAGGGTTATTACGCGAGTTATCGCGTTGATTTATTTCATTTAATAATCATGTAATTTAATATCGCGAAATATTGAATAAAAAAAAAAAAATTCAGTGAAAAATATATTGCAGTTTATAAAAAAACGTGTCATGTTAAAGTGATTATATCAACTGATTTATTCAATTTAATAATCTTTTGGGCTTTCTGTATATAATAAGTCATTATTCCTAATCATATATCCTAAGTTTTAAGTCTTAAGCCATAAGAAATTGACCAATCACAGTCGAATATGAGAAGAATAATCGACTATGATTGGTCAATTTCTTATGATTTAAGACTTAAAACTTAATTAAGCCTGGATTTACAATAAGTGTTTTAAGCCTTAAACCGTAAGAAATTGATCAACGATAGTCGAATGCAAAGGAAATAATTGACTATAATTCGTCTATTTTTTATGCTTTAAAAACTTATTATAGATTCAGGTTAATGGTTTATTGTAGAAGGCTCGCATTTGGTATCACAAAAAAAAATCTAACTTGAATGAACTCAAAAAAATTGAAATTGAAATTTTATTTTGTTCAAAACTGTACCATCTTACCCTACTTATTTTTCTTATTATTGTTAAATATATTGTATTGTATTCAAAAATTTCTTTAGAAGGTTTGAGGGCCCTGTTCTCATCCATTATTAATGCCAGCGATAATCCACAAATCTTGCGGTATCTTTGAAGATAATGTAAAAGTTTAAAAAGCTTTATTGTGTTATATATTATAATATGTATTGTATGTTAATATACTGATACTATATATTATAATAATAATAGTAATATACGTTTAAGCATCATATAATCTCTATTACTCTTTTTCTTTCAAAAATCTATTTGTTCCTTTAATTAAATACGGGACATGGATCACGTGCTCGATCCGCGTTCACGTATCGCGATTTTGCACGTGAATACAATAAGCTGAGCATATGTCACATATGAGAGAGCCGATCAGAGGCTTCGATCAACTAGTGTTGCTCGACAACACTTAAATTGAATTAAAGCAATGTCCAAAGCGTAACGTCGCTTTTAAGGTCAGCAGAACTGCGCATCGCGACGTCATTTATCGTCAGAACGTACGCCGCGAATGATGGATTTCACCCACTTAAGGGTGCACCAGATACTTTCGTCGATTTTGAAACCGCTCGTATCGGAATCGACGGTTGAAAATAATATTGAGCAAGAAGAGGAGGAGGAAGAAAACGCATAATTTAATGTTCATTATTGAGCCAAATCGAAAGTTTCTAAATAAATAATAAATATGTTGTTCTAAAAAAAGTGATCGAGTTTCATGTAAAATAAAATTCAGAAAAACTATTGTGTAATTTGGTCGCTTTAATTATATTAAATATAATCAAAATCAATCTCCACGAAAAAGAAGAAAAATAGTTTTAAATGGAGTACGTTAATTATCTCGTAACATCATTCAATGACTCATTATTCCACACATCAAACGTGCTAGATAATTTCGAGCACGCAAAATGCGGAAAGTTGAAATCAGAATTTTATGTAAGTTTTCTCATATAATCCTTTGTTCGATAGTGTCGCAGTCGTCACGGATAACAGTAAACATAACATCTCGCGCAATATAAAAAGTAATTTGTTCAAAAATTAATTTGCGATATTTATTTCATCTACAGCATGACGAAAATGAAAATAAAGTACCTGTTGATGCGAAAGGAAATTACTATTACGCTAACTGCGATGCTTCGGTGTGGATGAGGAGCTGCGAGAAAGAAGTGATTGAGCCCCTACGATCGAGCAAAGTCACCGGCACCATCCCGAAATGGCTGAAGGGCACCCTGCTGCGGAATGGTCCAGGCAATCTGAAAGTGGGCAAATACCGTTATCAGCATCTCTTCGACAGCTCGGCTTTGTTACACAAGTACGTTTTATACTAAAATAAAAGCTAGAGAATTTCATTGACATAAATATATTGCGCAGATTCGATATCGCGGACGGTGAGGTTACCTACCAGAGGCGATTCGTCCAGACCGAAGTGTACAAAAGGAACATGGCAGCCCAGAGAATAGTTTACAACGAGTTCGGAACTAACGCGACGCCGGATCCCTGTCAGACTATATTCCACAGGTAAATAGGAGCGAAACAATAAAGATAATCTTGAAATGAAGATAATCTTAAGTGAAATATATTTTTCACAATTATAATATTTAAGAAACACATCAAATCGAGAGAAAGTCAAAATGACTTTATTTTGACGTTGTAAAAAAGTCAAAGGATAATTTTTTGTTACAAAATTTGACGTTAGGAATCAAAGTAAAGTAATTTTGATTTTTTTGTTGAGTTTTGTGTATTTCTCTGGGTAATGGATGGAAAATTATATATAATATATTTATATTATACGTGTATAGACGAATTATATACGTTGACTTTGCTTTGGACAGATGTTTGAAGTCTTGCAAGTCGTCTCTCTATTTTAAATTATTTTTTAAATTATTTTTCAGAGTGGCTGCGGTGTTTAATCCAAACAAAACACTATCGGACAATTCCATGATTTCGATATATCCATTTGGCGACGAATATTACACGTTCACGGAAGCGCCAGTGATGCACAGAATCGATCCAAAGAATTTAGAGACAATGGGCAGGGTAAACGCTCTCTTGTGTGTTCAAATTTAAATATTCAATTTAAGTTTGTAACATCTCAGTTTCTAATATTAATTTGCAGTGAAAGTTCATAATAAGTTCTCTAGTTGCAAAAACTAATTTTTTTCCGTTCGTGTTTCGCAGGTAAACATGTCGAAATATGTTAACATCGTAAATCACACCTCGCATCCTCACGTTATGCCCGATGGTACGATTTATAACGTCGGATTGAGTGTAACGCCGATGGGACCTCGATACAGCGTCGTATGTTTTTATCCCAATTGCGTAACTGTTGGTAAGATATTTTTTCATCACTGAAAAAAAATTTACTATGTTTTATAATAAATGTTCGTTTGAATAATAACTAATTAAACATTTACTTATAATAAATAAATATTTATTCGATAAAAAAAAAATATTTAAATCAAATTAATGTTCTTGTATCAAATAAATATATGTGTTTACATTTAGTAAACATTTAGTTGGTACTATTCAAGCAAATATTTTTATTAAAATTTATTTATTAAAATTTAGTACACTTTTTTAGTGTTGTTATAATATAAAAAGAAATTTTTGAAAGAAGAAACTGGAAGGTTTACGGTATTATCGGCCGCGTAATTAATTTTACAATGGAAAAAATAGATTAATTTTCTCGAGCTTTTACAAGTTCAAAAATATCGTACTAATATACGAGTATTTCAGACTATATTAAAATACTTAAAACAGAAAAATTCTAACATATATATTTATCCAAAATATTTAAATTATATACTTTAATCAATTCAAGTGCGATTATCTTAGATAATTCTGGAAAAGAAAAAGAACTCTCCATGTTCGATCAAGCGACGATTGTGGCCAGTGTGCCGTGCAGGTGGTTGCTAAATCCATCATACATGCACACCTTTGGCATCACGGAGAATTTCTTTATCATAGTGGAACAGCCACTGTCGATTTCGATCGTCCAGATGACAAAGAACCACTTCACACAAGAACCTATGATGAATTCCTTCAAATGGCACGAAAACAAAGGTGTATGTATCCGTCGATGAAATCAGATCGTTATAAGCATGTTAAATCATTATTAGTACGTTAAGATATCTGATGTTCCTGTTATTAGACTCTCATCCACGTGATCTCAAGGAAGACGAGTCAAGTTGTAAAGACTTTTGTTGCGGAGACGTTTTTCTATCTCCACATCATCAATCAGTTCGAAACTCGTAATAAGGACTACATCGTGCTGGATATATGCTGTTATCGGAACCCAAAAATGTTGCAGTACATGTACTTTGACGCGATGAAAGTATGATATTCGCGCAGGAAAAATAACTTTCACGTAACTGATAATTCTTAACGGATGTTTACGTTAATGTGCAGGACATGCATGGGAACGCCAATTTCTCAAAGCTGTTCCGCGCCAGACCGCTACGTTTCGTACTTCCGATGAGAAAACCGAGCTCGGACACGCCATCGGAGCATAATCTTATTACGACTGAAACAGTGCATCAGAGCACGGAGTTCCGAGATGTCAACGGCGATTCTGTCGATCGTAGATCGAACTATGACGTTAATGGCAACGAAGACGACGTTGAATACGACAGTGAAGCTAAATTTTGGCGAGACGAACATAGAAGCGTTCTGCAGAAAAAGCCGGCCGCTCACCGACTTCTCAACGGCAAGATCTTCGTGAAGCCAGAGCTTCTCTGTGATGTCGGTTGCGAGACTCCGCGGATAAACGCGGATTTTCATCTCGGCAAGGAGTATCGATATTTCTACGCGATCTCCTGCGACATGGATCTGAACAATCCTGGAACGGTCGGTACATTTCATGAGCTTCCAAAGTATAACGCGCGTTCGATAAGGGATTCGACAAGTCTACGCCCTTATTATATAATTTAGTACGAAGAGATGTTGATAGCATTTTACTGTGTTAATAAAATTAAATTTTATTCGCAGCTCATCAAGGTCGACACCTTCCAAAAGACCAAGAAACTGTGGCAGCAACATGGTGTTTACCCAAGTGAACCAATTTTCGTACCAGATCCCAATGGAAAGGTATCAATTGAGCGCCATTTTCTTGGAAAAAGTAAATAAGAGAAAATTCAAATTACTTTTCTCTTGCTCTTTTAGAACGAGGACGATGGGGTGATTGTGAGCTCGGTCGTATGGGCGGATAAAGAGACACAAGTCGGTTTGTTGATTTTGGATGCTGTGACATTTACAGAAATCGCGAGAGCTATCTTCGACACACCGGGACCGGTACCTAAATGTCTGCACGGTTGGTTCAGTCTGAACAAATAATCGAATGCAAAAGAAAAATTATTTGAATTGTTAGAGACTTTTTACTATTAATTTTTTAGTATTAAGTTTTGAGTATTAAATTTATCATATGAGAGAGTCAAAGTTCGCAACGTGGCAAATTGTTTTTATTGTTTTAATTGTTTGTGTAAATTATTTTTTGTGTGGAGAAACGTTTTTTTTTCTATTTCTCTCATTTTTCTTTTAAAATAAATTAAGTATTAATTTATTGCATGATTATATCAACCTATCGGTTATCGAAATTTGCTAACATATAGATAATGAAGACAATCTTGAAAATAGTTTGTTCTAATCATTTTTGATTCATTCGTTTTTTTTTTTATAACTGCGCTGATAAATATTGTCAGATACACGAATATAATAAGTCATTTAATGTCTTTTAACGATGCGCAATGTATTTACAATCGGTGGACAATGCCGTTGTATAAGGATGCGACAATACGCGGCGCTGTTCGCCGATTATAATAAATGTAACAATAAATGTACAATCTTAACAAGATGAGAATCTAGTCGAGTGGAATGTAAAACCTTAAACATCGTCAAAAATTTTCGCAGCTCATTGAATGGCGGAATATTAAATTAATATTAGAGCCATATTCTTTAGACTGCAGTAATAACAATAATTATAATACAAAGTTGATTGGTAGACAATATCGTCTCAATTGTACTATTAAAAACTATCGAAACAGTAACTACGATATACATGATCCTTTGCCTCTAATATCCTAATTGATCTAATAGTGAATTTTTTTACAAGAAAATACTCTTCATTCTGATACATCCGAAATGCGACTTTCGATTGTTAGAATACATATCTCAAATAAATTCACCAATGAATTTTTAATGACAATCGAGAATCACACTCGATTTTCAAGTTGAATAATTTCTAAACGAGTTCTGTAGAAATAAACACGCTAGTTTTTAAAAGAAATCCAATGGGCATCTTTCTCGGCTGTTTCTAAATTAAGTATCATGAAGAATGAAAGAGAATTGTCTGCATTTTCTTGCTAAGTTCAATCTATAACATGACGATCTTCTCGTATACTTAAAATTGACAATAGTTAACGATTAATAAATAATAGTCTGGCACAACCATGGTCAGATACTTATTAGCTGAAGGAGCGTCAACGTAGAAATCCTAAATGATCTCGTACGTCGATATTATATTATATTAGGTTCAATTATGCACGTTTTATCACGCGGGAAAGTGCAGCGTCGCTGCTTTTGGCACTACAAATCACTTTCGCTCCATCGAGAGATCCGTTCAGCCGTTTAAAAAACTTACCTTGTCGCTTGTCGATATAGAAACGATAAACTCGCGATTCACAGTGTATTTCATAAATATACTCTCAGCTCGATATCAAGATACGAAAATCCGTCTGATTCCGGTCCAGACCTCGCGCGTGTTCTTGCATCGTGCAAATGTTATTCTAATAAAATATATAACGAAAAAAACATACGTGTTTCACGAGGTTTCCAGATAAAACGATTTAAATCATCTATTAAGATACGAATCTCGATGTGCGAATACATCTAGATAGATCTATCTATCCGATAAAAATAATCCGCGTATACGAACGTGGATACGATCGGTGATCGCATCTCACATAACATTATGTTAGAACAAAATAAGAAATTCCGGAACTGCAACGCTTAATACTATTTCGCGCATTCGCGTCTTGTCTTGGGACTTTAATTATTTCGCTCACCTTAAGGCTTAAGTACGAGAGAAGTGTTTGAGAGAATATCATTACGCGTTACTCGCACATAACGACTCCGTCGCTCTCGAAACGCGTGAAAGGGGAAATAAGGAAGCAGCAAAGGAAAATTAGAATAAAACACGGCTCTCGCATTATTTGGGCCGCGTCACGCGACTACGGCGACGCGGCTATCACAATATAAGCTTTTGCTTTCGATTTTGACACGGCAAAACCCTCAGACTTTGTCCACTTTCTCGCAGTCCACGGAATTTATAGAGTTTATCGTGTTGATGTTCTTGTTGATCTCCGTGTCCGTCTCGCTTCTCGTTAGGCTCGAAAGCGACTCGGCAATGTGTGATTCGGGATGCATCGGCAGGATACCAGCGTTCGCGTCCTCAATGGCTTTCCTGAGCTGCAAAATAAAATCCATATGTAATTTTATTAATGGAATTAGGGCTTATAATTTTCATCCCCCAATCAAGACGACCGTTCGTTAAGTTTTAAGTGTCTTGGCTGGAGAATTGTACCGTCGTGAACCATACCTCCTTCAACGCAACTACTCCGACCAGCCTGCCGATAGCCGTTACATAAGCGTGATTCACGCCGACCATACTAAACAGGCTGTGCACCTTGAGCAAGGACGTTCTTTCGACCAGCTGGAAAGGAGCTGGGTCAATATGACACCTCGAGAAATCCACCTCGAGTGCCATCTCGCTCTCCTCCCATCGTTTCTGATCTTCGGCCGACATGTCTATCACTCTCTCACGAGGCTGATTAACATATGCAAATGTGTTATTTAGACACTGTATTGAGAGGAAACAATTATGTTTGCTCACCAATTGTACTTTCTTCGATGTCGCTGGACTTGGGGCCAGCATGGGCGTATGAGACTGCACGTTCATGACATCTTGACTCCCTCTGGTACCCAGCTCCGGATCAGGATCCACGTCCTGCAACGTGGCGGACTTGCGGAAGATCGCCTCGAACGCCAAACGAATCCTGCGATATATTAATAATTATTCTTCCATGTTTCCATTCCATATTAACATATTTACTATTCTACAAAACTATACTTATTAAAATATTCAAGACGCTTGAAAAAAATAAAATAAAACCAAAAAAGACCGATAGTGTATGCTTTTTTATAAAACGTACAATAGATTGCTGTTTTTTACTATATGAAAAATTGTTGAAGCTAAAGATAATAAAGCGACTCGCCTGCTTTCCGCGCCTGTAACTGTCGTATAAGGTGTCACCGCCGGACTTACTAACGGGCTGAATCCCTTAAGAGTGAAAGAATTGGTCTTCTTCAAAATTGATTTTTTCGGTTGCGATCCAAACACCGGTGAATGGAACGTATGCTGGAAGAGATGCAAGAAAAATATTATATTAATCTACATCGAGGAGAATGATATACAAGGAGAGGAACAACCACTATTGACGTCAAAGTCAACCACACTTGCGCGAACTCACATGATCGGGACCGCTGCCGTTGTTTGCTGACATCGTTAGATCATTAACACTCTGCCTCTGCATCTTGAGAATGTCCGGTGCCGGGATGACCTCGAATCTCGAAGGTCTTCTCGTCCTCTCCTGCTCCCTCAGCTGCCGTTCTATTTCTTCGCGCGCTCTCTCCTCCGCCTCCTTGTGCCATTTTTGTGCAACCTGGAATATCGACGATGATATATAGAAACGAAAAATAAAATCGCGAATGAACTTCCAAGGTATTGGAAATCCTATCACCTGCAACCTTCTCTCGCGACCGATGTGCTTCTCGATAAGCTTGACTAGTGCTAATCGCTGGATCGATCCAAGCAGAATCATGGAGTCTGGATTATCCACCAACGGAAATCCGCGAAGCTTGCGATTTTCTTTTAATATGTCTTTCAATTTCTGATAACTAATACCGTGCCATATGTACTTGACATCGCGGACCATAAAATCCTCCACGTAAACATTGTACATTCCTGCAACAATTAAATTTTTTTACCACCATTTTTCTCAGTTGCGTAAAATCTGTGACAAGTAGAAAATTGTTACGAACAAAATTACCTTCTCACTTATTCCGAATGAAACGCTTTACGAAATAACAATGTAAACTCAGTTAATTGAAAAGAAGATAAATTATCATAAAACGAAGGAAATACCTACCTGAACTGGATGGAAGTAGATCAGGCAAGTAAGGCAATTTCTTGATAAGAATAATGCTGTCGTATATACTAGGCTGTAACAGCGCGGCGATGGCATTGCTAATCAGCACTGCTATCATTATGGGCACGATGTGTGTGATCTGACCGGTCATCTCAAAAATGATGACACTGACAGATATCGTATGCGTCACTGCGCCGGAGAACGCGGCCGCGCCCACTGTGGCATATCCACCTAAATGAAACAATTTCACGACATAAATCTAATTCTTCCCTCAATTTACTTTCCTCTTTAAACACGGTTAAAATTGCCTCACGTACCTAAGTGCCTGGACTCACCATGCATTTTTTTTACACGAAAGTTTTGCTGACACGATTAGAAGAAACATCAATTATTCGCAATAAGTTATTTTTCAAATATTTCAATAGAAAATAATTTTTTTATCTTTCAGTACAAAATAATAAGAATCATCAATAAATAATTACATGTATAAGTATTTAATTTAAAATACCTGGTACAATGGGTGTAATTACTCCGCCATAACGTACACCAGTGGGAAACCAAAGAGCCATGGCTTCACCGACCGTTCTGCCTAGCGCAGCACCAATTTTGAATACGGGGATAAAAATTCCAGATGGTACCGGCACCGTCGAACTTATAATTGAAAAGATAAACTGAAACCGAAGTCCATTTCTTCCATTTTCATCTGTTCTTATTATATAATCTATTTAAGAATATCGCGATCGAGTAATTATGCGAAAAAAAGTCATCTTTTCTTACAGTGAATAAAACAAAACTAAGAAGTCCGCTGAAGACATCGGTATATGATGTCGACCAATGCTTCACGATATTCATCTCCTCGACGCTGAGATTCTCCTTCGTCCAAGTAAAGTTAGTGAAAAGCCCAAAAACCTGATCGTGCGTGTTCAGATCACCAGCCATGAATTGGCCGAGCCCGACGGGAAATGACACAGATGAGATTATCAGAGACACAATGCCGGGATACAGAAAACGGCTGAAATTAACAAATCATTTCTTGATCACGACAATTCAAAATGATCGTAAAAGAAATTCGCGCTGTGGCAATTATTAGACTTTCGATACGCGACTTCGAGTGACTTACTTCTTCTGTAA